ACCAGTTCGTATTCTCAAACCCACATAACAGAATTGCTCCTGAACTCTGATCTCTGAGTTGCAAATCCTGAGGGGGCTTGTATCCTGAAGGGATTTGGGATGTGCAGCGACTAGACTTTTGGATCCTATTAATTATAATTATATTAGTACTAATATCGTTCGGCTACGTACGTTTCACTGAACTATCTAATCGATCCGGTTGCTTTGGAAATCCAAACCTTAACAACTGTGAGCCGATTGCTCCCCCTAACCGAAAGCTGCTGCAGGACACCAATTCCCGTGCCATGTGGATGCGGTTCTCAAGATCCCTGCAAGGAGCTTTATAAGTAAGTTCAACCCCAGCTTTCAGACCAAAAATCCCAAACCCTAAACCCGTCCTCAAAGCCCCAAATCCTAAACCCTAAACCCGTCCTCAAAACCGAAAAACCCTACTTTAAACTTGAAATGATAGGAGCCGACTGCCCCCCTGCCATCACCTTGGAGCTGAAGCGCTTGACGGTGAAGGGCAAGAAGAGTACCTTATTCGCATTGGGGGGTTTAGTTTTCGGGCCGGTTTATTATATATAATTACTGGGTCTGGGAATCCTCGTATCCCTGCAGATATGAAGAAGTTGCACGACTTATTCCATGAATGGATCCTATCGTCCGAAGATTGGGGCGAAAGCCGGGTCGTGGCGATCCACACCTGGCTAGAGTCTACGAGTAACACATCGGTGTGGAGATGGATGACGAAGAAGGCCAAATTGCAATATTGATTGTTCGCTACACTAATACTTGTATTCTTATAAATATATTGCATCGGCAGGCTTTGCTGCGCCTCTACGAAGACGAATCTTTGGTGGAGTCGTTGATATCTGAGAAGGATCCGCCGATTTCATGTTCGCTACGTTGCATAGCATGCACGTGCAGGAGCAGGACCCCTCCATGCACAAGTATCATCCGGACTTCCCGAACAACGAGGCCTGGGGGCTTTTCCTAATATTTGCCTCTGGATCAATGTGCCCTTGCAGGTGATGAAGCTCTACAAGTGTTGGGTGGACCAGACGGAGACCCAGGAACTCATGGAGAAGTATCAACTCGAGTTCCATCGCGAAGGAAATGCGAACCCGAGCAACGCCTTCGAGGGAGCAGACAGCCATGGGGACCCGACAGACAAGGACACGACATCCAAGAAGACCAAGGAGAATCCCAAAACCATCAAAGAAAAAACTACGACCCAACTCGCGAAGAATGCTTCCCAGTCGCAAAATATTTGAATCCCCGAGCCCTGCTACCTCACGCCCTTAATTATACTTCTGATACCATCTGAGGCTGTCGTCCTTTGCAACACATACTTGCTCGAGATCAAGAGCTACAAGACCCAGCTCGAGAAGAACAACGTGCCGCTCGTCCCCGATGCTAGTTTCGATGTCTCCGGAATCCCCGGTACTTGATGTAGCTAAGGGGGAAAGAACTGATTGAAGCACTTTGTGCTACGATGTACACGCATGGCACTGTTCTCAAGCAGCACCTCGAAGAGGTGCAGGCAGGGTTTTCACCATAAAACCCTTTATTACTTTACTAGCCCTAGCCCCTAAAGAACCCTAAAGCCCTAAACCCAATTACTACTGAATTACTTCAACCGTGAGCCCTGTACAAAATTTGAACCAACACAACTCCTGGCATCCCTGCAAATAAACCCGACAACGAAAACCCAAAACCCTAAACCCTAATCCCCCAAACCCTAATCCCCTAAACCCTAATTAATCCCCTAAACCCTAATCCCCTAAACTCTAATCCCCTAAACCCTAATCCCCTAAACCCTGCTAAGCTTAATCGAACCCGCCCGGTTCGAGATATATTGCTGCCAGGAGAAGCTGGCCGAGCAGGTCACAGGACCCGAGCTGGAGGAATGCCTCAAAAAGCTCACAGTGTCCAACAGCGCTTACAAGACGGCATCAAAGCACGTGAAGCTGCATTGTGCCCCCGCTAAGAGTGCAAATCCGAAAGCGAAGAGCAAATCCAAAGCCAAAGCGAAGAGCGGGCAGTGATGGCTTCAAGGGCCGATCGCACTAGTGTACATGTGTGCAGCTGTCCGTAGGCCTGTGTTTGCCTCTCGTTTTGAAGCGAGCTGTCGTCGGGTGCATGCAGTACAAGCTTGCAGGGCTAATCGTGTGTATCATGTCATATATGGGCATGTGTGTGCAACTAGACAGCATGGGTAGAGAGGCGAAGTGATCACTTGGTCGCCCCCAACAGTGTGCAGAAAAAGAAAGTTGAGTCCCACTGTACCAGTCGTATAGTTTATAAACCCAACTATCCCAACACTCTTCATTCCCTTGCCCTTCGCAGATGATACGAGCTTTGCGGATTTGCAGCTTCGCAATTTGGGCACAGGAGTACTTGGTCTGCAACCATGGTATAGCTCAACAATCCCCGATCTTCCAGCCGATCCTTAAAACTGAATCCCAGGCATCGACTGCATGTGCTCTCCAAGAGGCTGCTGCTGCGATGCTGAAGGAGAGCGGCAACTCGGCGAGCGAGCTTACAAAGCGCTTAGCGCGAGCAGGATCTTGGGGGAGGCATCGCCAGAACGTGGCTCGCGATGTATTCAGGGCTCTCCGGCTACCACTGGTTATTGGGCCGACTTGGAGCACATCTTTATAAATCCAAAGTCGTTTTAGTCCCGTGATCATATATACTACTTCAACCCAAATTAACCCAAAACCCCTGAACCTATATAGTAACAATTCCTCGAAGAGTAACCTAGGGATACTAAAAAAGTTTCCGGTGGCAAATAGCTAATCCTCAGGATCTCTTCTATGTCAAAGTCCCCATCTGCAATCCTGAAGACCGACAAACAGAAATTGAGATGGAGTTCCCGCTGGTTCTTCCACATGAGTTGTATGCTGCATGGATCGATACTTATCTGAATCAATTCCTGCCATAATTGAAACAATAAGCTTCGGTATCGAATTCTACTTAGCAAGGATGGTGGGATGATGGATGTCTCCAAGCAGCAGCTTGAAGTCTACTGGCAGCATGTGAAATCCAGATCCGCGGTGACCCCGATCGGTTTCGACGAGCGGTCCGTGCCACTAGGATTGTGGGGCGATGATGCCCGCTATAGGAAAAGCGAGAAGCTTATTCTGTACACCATGAACTCGATCTTGCATGAAAGAAAGGGATACTTGGCTATGTAAACCCTAAACCCTAAACCCTGAAATTAAGCTAAGCTAGGATATGTTGTAGATTATTGATTATGGGTGGGTTTTCTCAGCAGGACTAGGATCGGTGATCTAAGTTTGGGCTCCTGGTTGCAATTGGTGCCGGGTTGTATGAAAGGGGCTCCTATATCTACATATGGCCTAGTAGGGTAGAATTGATCGAAAAGTTAACATCCAGATCCCCTAAACCCTAAACCCTAAACCCTAAACCGTAAACCCTAAACCGTGGAGCTATATATTAATTACCTAATACCCTAAAACCCTAAAAACCCTAAACCCTAGTTTCTAGGCGATGTACTAGCAGGCAGGCAGATGCACCGTTACCCATTGTTTACGATCCGAGAGCACCTGTGCCTTCCTGGTGGCCGGACATTGCAGCCTGTTTACCGAGTCCTATGCTGGAGTTTGAATGTTCCTGGCCATCGTCATATACAACCTTGTCTATGTTTTGGGTCCCAATAATCTGAAACCAGGAATGTAAAGCCTCGAACCTTAATCTCCGACACCAGATTCTCTACAATGGCAAGTACCCAGCTGTGGGACCCGACTCGGAACCCCTTCCGAAGAACCTGGCTAGAAAAGCCGGGCAGCTCATCGATGGTGGCGGCTCTGTCCGCACGCAGGCAAACATCCGTTGCTGGTCGGTTCTAGATCTAGGTGTCCTAATTCACATGGGATAGGTCCTTAGGGTGCTAGTGTAATTTTATTATTTAGGGGCTGGAGGTTGAAACATATATCACAGGTCGCACTTGTGTCGTTGTCGAGCACAGGGGTGACTGGAAGTGGTTGAAGGAACAGTGGAGCTTCACTGCGAACTACCACTACAAAGCTGCTAACATCTGCCACCATTGCTTTGCAAAGCAGTCCGGAATAGATGGGCATCGGGATCTGCATTTAAGGTAGATGTTTGTTACTTTCCCCATATCTATGTATTATATTAATGTATCTGATCTAGATCATACTAACCTTCGGAAGTGATGCTCATCTAAGATGGGCTTCAAACCTCTCTCGCTGCTTCGAGCGCCGGAGCGATGCCAACATCATAGCTGAAGTTATGCGCAATGACACCGTCAACCCATTGATCGCCCTGGTCGGATTCTCACCATCGACACAAATTAAATTTTGTTCGATGCATACAGTGAACCTTGGATTTGGACAAACCCATGCTGGAAGCTGTCTGGAGCTGCTGTTGTCCTTGAGATACTAGGCATATATAATTTAGGTCTGGTGTCTTGATTTTAGGTAGATACTGGCCATTTAAATCTGGGATAATATTGTAGTAGATCATATTTTCAAGTGCACCATATCCAAACAAGGTTATTGGGGCAATCATCCCGACTTGTCCAGTGGCCTACGGACAGCAAGCTTGGATTTCAGGCGTTGGGCTCGGTCCCAAAGGCCCCCAGTGGAGCACCCTGTCATTATTGTGTAGCTGGTTTAAAGAATAGCTAATTAATTCGTCGAGTTCAGTAGTTTCCTTCTCGAAGGCATTCCGTTCCCATCATTACAGTGGGCATGTTACGCGATCCATCGGAAGCAGGGGAGCACGTTTGCCTAACACTCAAAGCGTGGAATACCAGAGTGTTCCTGGGATTTTTGGATGTGTGCCTCCTTAATCAATTGCAGCTCGACGAAGCTGCAAGGCGTCCTCCGAATCCAGAATTGCTTCTTGCATCAGTAGCTACCCGCGAGCTTGTTTCCTGGTTCGTCGAGCAAGAGCAAGCTGACCGACGATTTCTTCGACCCGAGGAAGCACGAAGTATTTCCGTTCATGGAGAAACATATCTGAAATATATGGAGGGCCTCTCCAAGCATGCCAGCTCCCACTCTCTCTTGAGGTGGAAGGTGCTCCCCAAACTACACGCATCTCGCTTGATCTAGATAAGGTTTTTTTTTCAGATATGAAATATTTCGTGCGAAGATCGTATGCATTCCAGGTTTTCAAGCACTTGAATGAGGACATGTTGGCCACCCTCATATCGGCAAGGTCATATCATGCCTTTGTAGACGAGGATTGTGTGCTCCAGTGGAAAAAGCTGGTCCTGAATATGTCCTCAAACGCGTTAGAGGAGAAGATGCTGTTGCGTTACCTCTTGAGACTCGGAGCGTGTGGGAAGTGAAGTGAGAAAAAAGGCTTTCGAAGATGGCGTCGGGATCACCATTTTACATAAATTCTTATGGGAAAGCGGTGTCATCAATAGGATTAGAGGCTCTTTGCGATAGCCCAAAACAACGGTTATGGATGTTAACCTCCCTAAAAATCATCCTCTGCAGACCCATGGATGCTCTAGGCTAGACCCCCAACAAGCCTCCCGGAAGACCTACAGGAATGTGTCCCAAATGCGCCAACGTACCCTCTTTGAGCCCCATGTAGTTAAATTTGGTCCCACGCACCCAAAAGTAGGCTGATTCGACATACTTTGGAGCCCCTGGGA